TCTTGTTAATAGGGTTTTTATACGAAAAAGTTCTTGATAAAAATATAAATGATTAAATGGATATTCTACAAAACTAACACACATTTTTTACAAGTAAAAAATTTAATTATATTTTTATTTTTTATAAATTAATTAATTGGTTCTTATATTTAAGTTTGAAGGAGTAATATATAAAATTTGAAAAATAAGTCATATTTTTCATAGCCAATATCAAATGTGTTGTGTTATAGTTTTTATAAAGATAATACAAAGTTTGAAGGAAAAAAGAATCAATATTCTTTGATACTCTTTGAATAAGGTTTTTAGATTCAAATTTTGGAAATAAAAAATTTTCTATAAATAAATTTTTTGAAATATTATTGTTAAATTACAAACCCACATAAAAAATATGATACATAACTACAGATAGTTGAAGAACTTGGTATAATGAATATAAAAATTTTTACCTCAGTATTCTCATTAAATCAATTTATATAAAAAGTAGTTTAATATCTTTATACACATTTTGTTTTGAATTAATTAAGTTATTTTTGGAGTAAAAATATATTTCTAAAGAAATAATATCATTTTCCTCGATGGAGATGGGAATTAATGAAAATATGTCCCACCATAAGTTTAGTTCATACCCCTTAACGTCCGACCCTCCTTTCAATTGACTTTTTGACTCCAAATTTTTTTTTAAAGGGCAATTTACAGCCAAAGACCCTAACCATCGAATGCAATAATCCCAAATTTTCTAAAGTTACAGATAAATTTTTCATAACATCTACAATAAAAGTTTAAAATTTTCAAGTCAAAACATGGCTTTAATCTTATAATAAAGTCTCTTTTATTTTTTTTAACTTTATTAGGTTACTTTATTATTATTTTTGGTTTAAAATATTGTTTTTTTTTTTTACTGTAACACAGTTAGTTTAGTGAAAAATGCTTACATGGAACTAAATTAGCTCATCTATAATATTTTTAACTACCTCATGATGCCAAGAAAATAATAATATTTCATGTTCCTTCAACCATCATATTTTTCAATTAAAAATCGAAATTTCAAAAGCTAAATATCATATATGATTTATAATTGAAAAACTAAATGTCGAAAACAAAGAAATATTACTAGTATTTTATGTTTTTGGCACCATGATGTTGTTAAAACGGTTACAGGTGGCATATTTTCAAATTTCAAATTAAAAAATCTGAAAATCTTAATATAAAGTGTTCTTTTTTTTTTTCCCTTGCGAATGGAAAATCTTAATAAAGTCAAAGCGTGCAATTGAAATTCAATGCAAATTATTTTTTTGAAAGTAGCTCAAGACTTTGAAGACAAACGATATAATTATTTTTTTTCTTTTTATTTTTTAAAAAATAAAAACACTTGTCATTATTTGTTCGTTGATTTTCTACTTTTATTCATCTAGACAAGTGCTTGTTTTTAACATAATACCTTTTTCTCTTTAATACAAGTGTTTCTTTCAAATTGATATAGCTTTTCAGAATTAAAAAGAAAAAGTAATTTTTCTATTTCACTATATAAAATTTGGAGGAATGGATTCCTTGCAATTTTCCCAGCTTTTGGAGATTGGACTTGGTGGCCCCAAGTTTCTGAAATTTTCCAAAAGTTAAATGCCGCCTAACTAATGAAAGACAATTTGTACAAATCACCATACCTGAAAATATTGAGGTATATCTAACACCATGAAATATTTTCTCAGGTACATTTAGTTTCTTAAAGTATCTTATGGTGCATCTAACACCTCGAAGTATTTTTTAGATACATTTGACATCCTGAATTTTTTTTTTGTCTTAGTACTGGATGCACTAAAAAATATTTTTAGGTGCCAAACGCACCTAAAAAAAATACTTTGAGGTGTTGAATGTAACAAAAAAACTTCACAGTATCAGACGCACCTAAAAAAATATTTCAAGGTGCTGGATGTACCACTAAATATTTTAGGATATTGGATGCACATAAAAAAAATACTTCAAGATACCGGATCCATCTAACTCTACATGAAAATGGCAATTTGCAAAGAGCTTGTTTCAAAATTGAATTAGTTAAATTTTTTGCATTTAGTAAATTGTGGCACTTGTTAGAAATTTTGTGTTTTAGGTCAATGTTTGATGTTGATGTTAATATAGTAAAAAAAATTACTAACTATTTTAGTAAGATATTGGAAAACATATCTAGTCTAGAGTAAAAGAAAAAATTTTGCATAGTGATTTTCAGCCATCATTATCTTAGATTTTTATTAAATTAATGACAAGTAGGCTATTAAATTTTTAAAAAAATAAGTCGCAAATAATTCAAACAATTACAACTAAGAATCTCAGTTACTGATCAAGAGAAATATTTCAAATGTAAATAAAAAATAATTGATACTTCTGAATTTGTAATTGTCTGTATCAATACCCTAATATTCTTCCTCATTGAATTTTTTATATTTAAAATATAATTGAAAAATAATTTCAATTTATGATAAAGTTTTACCAATTATGTTATTCAAATATTACTACATTTTGATTGAAAATATTGACAATATATGTTTCAAAAAATAAATTTCTTACGAGTTACAAATAGCATCCTCACATTTCACCAAAAAAAAAAAGCATCCTCACAACAGATAGACGAAGAATAATCTAAAAAATTAATTTTCACAACTCAACATTAAAACACAGTTTCCCAAAGGCATGCCTCTGTAAATTAATACTTTTCTTTACTCACATTTTTATCTTTATTTTAACCCAAAATTTGTGGCCCATATCACATGCCCTATAATTCTCATTAATCTCACATGATAACTTGTCAATTTCAGTTAGTAATAACTTAACAACAAAAGTAACGTCATGGCATTTAATTTTAAAAATTAAAACTTTAGAAAAACCGAATTTAAATTTTGAAACGTTAGAAAGATCATCTAAAATTTAAAGGAATTTTATAGTAGTATGTTTTATCCTTTTAAAAAAAATAAGAGAGAAAAGAGCCGATGTCATGGTCAACCGCCCTAATTAATTGTGAATAAAAATTGATTTTAAAAAAACGCTAAAACTAAAATTATTATTTTTCCTTGTTTATACACATAATTTTAACTACTCCCTTTGAAAATCACAAAGCAAACAAGAGCTTGAGATCTTAATTGATTGATTTCGTTTTGCACAAAAGACGAACATATATTCACATGTTGCATATTACAAAGACAGCCAGAGAATGACATTCTCATCACTTTCATTAAAACCTTCAAATTCAAATGTTTCTGACTTCTCTCTCCCAATATGCAGACAAAACCTTGCAGTTGTTTTCCATTTCTATAGTTTCCCTCGTGCCAATCATCCAATCATATGCCCCCTTCTTCATCTAGAAAGTTGTTTCAGAAACACAAATGATGGTTGTTGAGTTGAGTAAAACCATTGTATTAAAACCCAGTTTAATTGGCTGATAAGACTAGTGAATTAGTGAATCAATCCCTTAATCGGTCCAATCAAGAGTCTTGGATCGTTGACCCTTGTATCACACTGCTTTGACCAGTTTGATTTTCAGCATCATAAAGTTATGGTAAATATTTCATGATAGATTTCTCAATAGTCTTTTAACTTTGATTTTATTTTGGTTTTTGAAAATAATGATTAAGATTTTAGTGACCAAAAACACTGTTCCAATGACAAAACTTTTAGGCAGACCAAAATGAGATTAAATTTCAAGAACCAAAACTAAGAGGAGATCAATTTTTAGAAATTAAAAATGATATTAGCCCTAATTTGTATACTGATTCAAGTTTAATGGCTCGCTTTTGATCAACTTCACGGGCAAAAAAAATAAAGAATTAAGAAATGCACTAATAGGTGATGATGAATAAGGATAGTGTACAGGTGAATTTTTTATTTTTTTAAAGAGAAAGTGTCTGTCTTTTTCATAATTTTGCCATTGCCAAGTGTAGTCCAACAGAGTTTACGAGCTCAATTTCTCTGGGTAGTTTATTGCTTAGCCTTGCCTCTTCACACGTGAACTGATATGCATGAATATTCAATTCTCTTAATCTCTTAACTAATCTCAATTTCTTGCATCCAACCTGATGTCATAATTACCTCACCATGTTTCATATTATTGATGACTCAATATTTTTCTTAACTTACATTATTTGTTTTTAATTATAAATCCACCCCATGAATTGTTTAAGAACTTGGTATCATTATTGAAATAGCCTCATTCCTTACATTTTTTTTTAATATAACCTGGCTAATTAAAGCAGTTCACTGCACTATACAGTAAATCAGAAAGAATTTGGTATCATTATTGTTGTTTCACTTAGCACATTGGATCAGTCAATTTGATAAAAGTCATCAAATCAAAATACATGGACAAGATTTTACCAAATATACTAAACTAAACGAATAGGTAACTTTAAGTGATATTGAATAATTCTCACAATATCATTTGTCAGGGAAAAACGAAAAAAAAAAAAAGTTTCTTTCTATTCTTGTCCGAGCACATTTTGTTGTTGTGAAGATAAAATATTTGTGCTGCATTTACAATTTTAGTTATTTGGATATAGGAATTGCAATTGACTATTGTCATTGGAACTAGGGAGAAAGTGACTGCAGCAAAGAAATAAAAACGCAAAAGTGCAGTTAGAAAGCCCTATTTAAAGTACTTGACAAGTGAAAGGAATCTTTATTTTCACTGTTTGGCTGTAACTTCTTAAGTAACTGGGATGAAGAACTAAGGATTTAATAGAAACAAGAAAAAGAAAGATCTCTAAAGCTTGACTCAATAATCCAATCTTTTCACTTCCTCAACCCAGTTTCTGCTTTGGCTAAAAAATGAGCTGAGTTTTATAATCAAGTTGAAATCGTTGCTACAATACTTGAAAATCAATTAAAAAAATAAATATTATATCTCCTTGAGAACCAAGTTAGTTTTGGTCAAGGCTCTTCAAAGTCTGTCTTTATAAGACTTCACAAGCTCTCTCATTCTTAACCATCTTCACTTCACTGAACCTTCTTCAAAGTCTCTGTGTGTGTTCTATACTTTCTAGCTCCTGTCACTTTTGCCTTCCCAGTTTTGAAGCCATGTCCACCTCTAGAACCCTAGATTCTTCCTCTTCTTCTTCTTCTTCTTCATCACCATCCTTCAAGGGCTATGAAGCAAACCAGACCCAGATGGTTCTGTCTCTACTTCAGAGAAACACATCTCCTTGTGCTGGTGAGAAAAGAGGCAGAAGGAAGCAATCAGAACCGGGAAGGTTTCTTGGTGTCAGAAGAAGACCTTGGGGAAGATACGCTGCAGAAATAAGGGACCCCACAACTAAAGAAAGGCATTGGCTTGGAACTTTTGACACTGCACAAGAAGCTGCGCTGGCTTATGACAGAGCTGCTCTGTCCATGAAAGGAGGCCAAGCAAGAACAAATTTTATATATTCTGACACTAACACTACTTTTCAAACTCTTCTTTCTCCTTTAGATGGTCAAGCTCTTTTACCAACCTATCAGAGTAGTGCTAGTGCAGTATCTGATATGCATCATCCTAATCCTTCTCATTCCACCCACCTTCATCAGATTGAGCCTAATCTTCCTACCCAGATGAACAACGACATGCCTGAAACTGAAAACTCTTTCTTGTTTCCCAGTGATTCTAACTCAGGATACTTGGAATGTGTGGTTCCTGATAACTGTCTCAGAAGGAGTAATGAGAGTGCTTCAAGTGAGCAAAAGGGCCAATCTCAACAACAAGGCATCAATATACCAACAGTGGCCTGTGAAAGTTCAGATTTTTCTTCATACCCAGATGAAATCTCTCAGGGACTGTCATGGGATTCTGATTGCAGTGAGCTTTCTGCTATGTTCAAGAGCAACCCAATGAGGGTTGAAGAAGATGGGTGCTTCAATGGGAGTACTGGATTCAGTTCAAGCTACGGACTAATGACTGATCAATATGGTTCTGGTTCAACTTCTTCATATGCCTTTGGAGATGTTGATATGGGATACTCCATGTTCTGAGTTAGATAAGTTTTCAAAGTGTCATCGTGCTTTTTGGATCTCTAGCATTACATTGCATGCACTCGTACCTTTTTTTTTTTTTTGGAAGTTTCTTGTAACTTGAGTCCATCTGCCAGCCTTTTCTTCTTCTAATTATATAATTATATAATCCCTTTGTCGTGCTTTTGGGGCGAGTTCTTTTGTTCTTTACTCAGATTTTAAGGAGGAAAAATCATACCCCTTTCCCTGCCTGTTCTTTTTAGTTTGACTGGAAAAATCTGCCTTGTCCTTTCAAATTTGGGTTTGTGTTTTTTTTGGGTGGCGGGGTAGAGGAGGTTGCGTGGCAAAAATTTAACCTCAATTACTATAAATACAGATGCAAGGGAAGCAACAGGAAAACACAAGAATTTTTGCTACAACAAAACCATAATAAAATCAAAGAAAATAGCTATGGAAGACAATAATGCCATTGTTAAAATGAGAAAGACAGTCAATAATTTTATAACTTAGTGACCTAAAAGACTTCCCTATAAGTGGGAGATCAAAAGTTCAAGTTTATGATCTCAAATAATTAATACATGCCCCTATAATTGAAAACAAAAATGAGAAAGACAAAAAATAAAACTAAAAAAAAATATGTGTGAAAGCAATGAAAGTGTAATTTTTCCTGGGGGGGTAATTATTTCGTTTTTAAATCTGATCAAGGGAAAGTGATGACTTCTAATATTATAAATTAGAAAACAGATTGATGGAATGGTTTAATCCTTCTTTTAGGGGCATTTGCCTCAACTTTTTGGGAACAAGAAGCAAAGCTTCGCAGAAAGATATGTTGTCCATCCAATTCTAATTGATTGCTTGCGCTCTCTGTACTTTCAAACTTTCTTATTGACCACAATTTCTCTATTTATTCATTTGTTCATTGTCTTTTCCACCCTTTTTCTTTTCACAAGACCCCTAGATTGCGGGACCCAGTTTTAGCTAGAGTTTGAAATATTAATGAGTTATGAATAAAGAATTGTATGAATATTGATGTTGATGATTCATGATGAAAAATGCTTTTTATTAAAAAAAATGGTTGAGTTAGTAGAATTTAGAAAATCATCAAGGATCAAACTAATTTTAAATTGAATTTATAGCTTAAAGAACAACTACGTAGATACTATTAAATTATTTAGTAACAAGGTTTTTATATGAACAGTTGAATTTAAACTGACATTCTTGAGAAGTAGGGTTCTAGCGTTGTCAATTAGGCTCACTTTTGTAAACAGCAAAAGAAATGTTTAATTTTAGAAGAGAGAACTTTTTTTATAATTTTAATTTTAACTCCTTGTTTGATTCATTTGTAGTCACACGTCTTAAGAAATTTCAAGTGGGAGTTATAAAAAGTTTGGTTTTTCTTTTATTATCTATGATGGTAATGGAGAGAATGAAGGCAAAAAATATTTTTTTACTATTGGATGAGTGTTATAGGTTACTTGGCCATTGTTTTTATATTTTTCTTGTACCTTAACACTACAGATTTGGAACAAGTTTAGGACAAAAAAGAGCACACAAGTTGATAAAGGACAAGTAACAGAGCTAACATGAAGACCCCATTTGGCAGAGTAGTGGAAATCCCCTATAAGCACATTCATGTAAGTTGAAACAAAACTTCTCTTATATACTTATCTCATATTCTGTAAATCACTTTTAAAAAGCAGCTTATAAACTACTTATAAACTGTTCCAAACGGCCCGAAATCAACAAAAGAAATAGACAAATTGATTTACTGAAAAATAAAAAGGTAAATTCAAGAATGAGAGAACATTAATTTGAAACATATTTTATTTCACAATTCACTTAATCCAAACAAATTTAAAAAAATTAAAAAATAGGATGAATTAAGATTGACTACACTTAGGGGGTGTTTGGGTGATGACCCAAACCGTGGTTTGGGAAAAATCACCCAAACACCAAAAAAAAAAAAACAAAATCATGGTTTTGGCAAAAACAAAAATTTTCTGCTTTTGGGGGGAAAAAGGGAGAGTGTGAGAGCCTATGGGATATGTGCCTTGTTGTTTTTTTTTAGCCTGGACAGATATACCCTTCCCAATTATTCATATCTTTCTCATTGTTTCAGACGCAATACGAGGGAGAGCCTGAGAGTATATCTCAACAATAATATGAATTTAACACCCATTAATTATTTTTTTATAAACATATTTAATCTTATATCTTATAAATATATATATACACATATTAATTAATTATTAATTATATTATCTTATGTATTATTAATTATGTTGATAAAAATATATTATTAACAATTTTATTCCTTCAAATTAAAATATATCATAAAATCTAGGAAAAATTCCAGATAAAGCCATTTGAATATACATAATTTCAGATTGGGTCCTGGAATTGTCTAAATGACAGAAAGGGTCAATGACCCAATCTGTCATTTCTAAAATTAAGAGCAATTGACAATTTTGTCCTCATTTGTATTCATTCACTACAATAATTTAAAGAATTACTATGAGGGTTTAGGTGTTATCTAGATTCATGTAGAGAATAACTATTTATTTTTTTATAGTCAGGAATGCCTCATAAGAAGGTGTCTTGTTATTAACTACAACTAATCATGTAATCACTAGAATAGTATAAGCATTACCTAAATTTGTTTAGAGAATAACTACTCACTTTTACTTTCATTTGTTTTCATTCACTACAATAATTTAAAAAATCACTATAAGGATTTAGGCATTACCTAGATTCGTGTAGAAAATAACTATTCATTTTTTCGTAGTCAGGAATGCCCCATGAGAAGATGCATTGTTATTAACTACAACTAATTATATAATCACTAGAACAGTATAAGCATTACCTAGATTCGTTTAGAGAATAACTACTTACTTTTGCTTAATCAGGACAAAATTGTCAATTGCTCTTAATTCTAGAAATGACAGATTGGGTCATGGACCCTTTCTGTCATTTATATAATTCCGAGACTCAACATGGAATTATGTATATTCGAAGGGCTTTATCTGGGATTTTTCCTAAAATCTATCTTTTTTGTAATTATCATATTAACTTATGCCTTTTTTTAGTAATTTGTATATATAAAAAGTGCTTCTGATAACAACTATCCAAACACTCTCACTTCTCAAAATCACTTTTTCACAAAATCTATTCTTCAGAAACTATTCTCCAAACTATAGTTTGGTTTTATCCAAACACCCTTTTAGTTGCAAATAAATTGCATTGTGCGTGTCCCCATTAGGTTAAAGGGCTAGCATTCCTAACTCTATTTTGGGAGACCAACGAAGATGGGCATGCTTCTTAATCCTCATTTTCCAATGAAGAAATCAGTTTTTTTTTGGGGGGGGGGCTAGTACTACCAAGAGAAATAAGCACATCTCTGCACTAAGTTGCCCTTAAATATCCCAATGTCTTGGTTTAGTGATTCCCCAATCTTATCGTCCTGAATCAGTCCTTATTTGGCACGTTAACAAGAGCAAATCCTAAGATTGAAGAAATTGCAGATTTATATGCAAAAAGCAAACCAAGTCCTCTGTACTTAAAGACAATGTGTTGGTTCCATTTGGTTAACGTCTCATGTACCTACCCAAATCAAGTTCTTTACACACTACAGTTTGATGTTTTTACCTAGTCACCAACACTATTAAGAACTTGCCAGGCACAAGTTATGCAGATCGCTTCTGGCCATACACCAATTTTATAACTGCTAGTACAGTACTCTTCCAATATTCACTGGAGCTACCAAACTTGAGAGTCAAAATCCAAACACTACACAAAGCTACAGAAGTGGCTATCCTCCCAATTGTCAGGAATACTCAAATAGGCTCCCCTTCCTCAGAAGGCATGTACTTGATTTATAGGGCGCATCGCATTATGCTGTGCCTGTTTTAACTGAAACATATGTGGTGTCTATTTTGAAATATGATCATCTTACAATAAACATATCCAAGTATTCCAGTCACAAGGGGCAGAAAAGAAAGAAGAAATTTCCCACCAGAAAATTACCTGATCTCACAAAAGATTTGATCAAGTAGACTGAGAAAGGGGAGACAAAAAATTATTACACATTCCAACGTTTTGGTTCAAATGTTGCTTCATATATGTATTTTTGTAATAAATTTAAGTACCAAGTCAAGCATTTCACTTGTCACAACATTTTGTGTATCTAAAAATTCATATGAAAGATAAGCAATGTGAAGCCTCATTTTAGTCTCCTGATTACTTCTCTTCACAGTAAACCCCAGTCAAAAGGTTGGGAACAGTAGTGAATAGGAGCTTCCAAATACATCGGAAAATTGTTCCCAGAATCAAAAAGGATTGGTACTTGGAGGAGAGAAGGGCTTCGGTGAAGAGACGTAAACACATGGTCAATGAAACTGTGGGCCAGAATCTTCTTAATATTGAAAAAGACCAGAGCATAAATAAGTACAACAAACTCCAAAAAAGTTGGAGATTTGGATGGACATGCATAATGGGCTTGCAGATTCTTTTAAAAGTTATTCAGAAGAAAGGTGGCTGTATGGGGTTGCTAAAATCTCCAGGTTGGCCATGGTTTTATTCAAAAGATCAAAGAGATGGCCGTGAAAAGATTATGTGACACAAAGATAATTGACGCTGACGTGTGCCTAGAACTGAATGAGGAACTGGAATAACTCAAAAAGAAAACCTATTTCAGGACTTGTTTAAATAATGTTGGTCCAGTTGAAGAATTGAGATAAAAAGGAGTTATAATGAGGTATGCATTCACATTGCTTAACTAGAGGTGTGAAGGACGGAGCTGCTTGTGCTGCTATTGGGGATTGCTGAAGGACTGGAACTCTGAGCAGATTGTTGAGCAGTTGATTGATTAATGGATCCAACAGATGACAAGGTCAAGCCAACTGATGCCGTTGATGTGCTCATTGATGAAGATATTCTGGATGATGCAGACTCCTTGCCAGATCCTGAGGTGAGTTCAGGCCGCAATTCTGATGATGAAGATGAAGGAGCAAGAGTGCCAATTGAAGAGCCCACAGGATAGGGTGCAACCGGCATATCAGCTAGGGAGGAAGCAGATGGACTATAACTCAGTGCTCCAATAGGATGATCAAATTTGCATGCTGGGCCAAATTTACACACCCCACGCTGTGCATAATGAGTGCAAGGAGGTGCGCCCTGAATAATTAAAGACCAACATCAGATTCTTAACGAATAAAATGGGAGGCAAACAAACTAATCTTACAAAGCATTCCATATTGCCGAGATAATTAAACCCAAAGAATTTCTTGCATCACTAACCACTATTAACTCCTTAAACTTCAAAAGTACTTGGTGATAAAGAAGTTTCCCAAAAAAACAAAAAAAAAAAAATAATATTATAGTAGCAGCAGCCAGGGATAAAACAAGGAAAAGGAAAAGGAAATGAAATGCACACATAAGCTTCACATTTTACAGATAACACACATCATAGATAATATGAAAATCAAGTCGCAGACCATATGCAAGAATATACAACTCAGATATATGATCAATTACTTATTTGGAAATTGAAAACCATTAAGGAAGAAGGACTTGAAAACCACTGAATGATGATAGAGAAACTAAATAGCAAAATAAGCATGAAACATGCCCACAGAAAGAAATAAGTAAACAAAGTGATACGTATTGTATGAAATGTTATAATACTTCCTTGCTTTAAACTAGATTCAAGCTAGAAGGAAAATCAAAACTAAAGGCAAAAAATGCAAGAACAGAACAGGGGGCAGGTCTCTGGCTTTCAAGAGGCAGTCTTTCTTAAATTGCACTGATATTTTCCTTCCCATGGACCTATACTAATCGGTTAATAATACATGCACCCATCTCATGCCAACAATTCTCTCCCCCAGCTAACCTACACAATTCTCATCATTTGATAGTTAGTTATCTTTAACCCCTCACCACGGACTATCTCATCATTCCTTTTTGTTTTATTCCCTTTCTTCCCCCTGTTGCTGAGGCCATAAAATGGATCCATAAATTATCAGAATTTAATTCATGGAGATTTTCAAGCACATAACATATGGAAGTTAACTCTATGCAAAAGTACATCACTGTTATAATGTTACATAAAATCAGTTTAGACTCGTACAGTCTGAAAAGGGCAAAAAAAGAAAATAAATTCCACAAATTACACTGCTTTTGTGACCTTGTCCATAAAAACTTTCGCATCTTAGCTTCCACAACAAAAAGGTAGGCTTTTAACCAATAAACTTTGAATCAGGCTCAAAGATGTTTTCTGCTTCAGATAATTGCTAATTTATCATTTTTCCCATATAGACTGAGATAATTCTCGAACTCATCTTCATCATCCATTCCTAACCCAAATGAATCTCCAGAAGCAAAAAATATCCACGACTAGACTTCACACTACTATATCTTGATACGATTATAATCGTCAATAAGTAAATTTCACATTCCAGGATCCGTGAGCTTAATTTCCCCAAACTGTAGACTCAAGCACTGAGAATGTAAAAATTACATGGTAAACAAAATAGCTTGATCCACATATTTGTATATCAACAGATATTTCTTCATATGATTCTTGACTACGTCAGGAAAAATGTAATGAGACAATGGTTGAATTATCACTGATTTTTTTTCAAAAAATCTCACTGGTTATCCCTACCATCATGGAAAACCTTTCAAGACCACTCTTAAGACTCACACTGATGTTAATATGGGCATCTTATCCAAAAACAGATACAAAAAATGAAGTAATACTTCTTATCGACATCTTTGACAATTACAAACAATGACAAGATTATCTCAATTTCGTAACAGTGTCAAGTCATTAGATACTCCAAACATCCACATAGATTATACTGATTTTTCAAAGAAACTTCTGGGCATAAGAGACTTGCTAAGAAGTAAGGCACGTCAGGTCTAAGGCATTTTACTGGCCCCCATAACTGTTTATGTGCAAAAGAATATTCAGATCATTTCCATAACAAGGAACCATTTGTTCATCAGTCCAATCACCCAAAAGTTATATGGATTTCGCGTATCAATCAGGATCAAAGAGAAAACTACCATAATTAAGCAATTACACAAAACAACAACTAGAACCTATGATAGCATGTTATAAGTGATGCAAAGCTTGTTTTTCTTGAAAAAAAAAAATATCCCATTCGAATGAAGCCAGCAACAATTTCAAATATGTTGGGAAGAAACGTAGTACATAGATTAAACGATGACACTGTACAAAAGCCATATTGATTTATGCATGACATTGATGCAGAAGCAATGCTTTGGATGACATTCATCGCATAGATGAAAATGTTGTGGGGACAGATCAAGTTCACAACACAATACCATATCAAGAATATATGAAATCATTCATAAGCTCAAATTTGAGATATTCATCGTCCATAATGGGGCATTGGGCAACAACTATTCAAGCAGATAGGCACGGTACTGACCAGCTAATGTTCTCAAGCATAATTTAGAAGGGTTAGTGAATCCCAATATACTCGCAAGCAACTGAAAGAGGAAATAAACTTCATATAAAGAATAAGGGGATAATGAAAAGATCTTCAATGCTTTGAATAAGATTTCTATAAATATGGGAAAGGTCCACATAATAAGCATATGAGAATAAAACCTAAAACAAGAAGCTTCTTCAGTAGGGGCAAGTCCAGCTAGATTGTGCAGGATTTGTTTTGAGCACCCAACCAAAAAAAAAAAAGGCACTAATCACTAATGAATATCCTTGGCCTTGACAATTTCAAAGCATTAAATGTAGATATTCCCAAGAGGAGATCCTCTCCTTTTCCCTAAATATGGAGTTATAGGGCCCATTCATACTCCCTCTATCGGATCCTCTATTTTTCTTTAAATGTCCTGTAGAGTTGGAGAAAGATAAAGAGAAAAGAAGAGCAGGTGGGAAAAAAAACTGCAGAAAATTTCAAAAGGAAATTTAGGGTATCATTCAAATTTACAGGAAACTGAGGGAGGAACGGAAAGGATCTCCTGTCCAATATTCCCTGGTGGAAAAGAAATCAGTCAGAGAAGCATTGCAAATTCCAACATTTCATAGTTCATAATAATCAACATCCTGGCAGAGAACAAATCCACATAGAAAGATTTGGCGAGAAAGTGTTTACTTACAGTACTCACGTCATGAGACCAAACAAATGCACAATTAGTAGAAAAAGACAAGAAATAAAAATGCCCCTCTGATAAAATTTGTTTCGATTGGTGCCATCAAAGATAAAATGGAACACCAGCCAAGAAAGCTTCAAATTCTGAATAAAGCAATTCTTAATACCTCAGAGTTAGCATCAAACAATGACTAGCTATCACTAAAGTTTTAGCCGAACAAATGGAACATTCATAATCCATTAGAATGAATGACAGTACAGAAGAGCTGAAATTGATGATTACCGGGCGCAAAGGAAGGCCCACAGGACTAAGGACCACATTTGTTTTTGGAGCAACTAATTCAGGTGGATGGTGATATCTACACGATGGGCCAAATCTACACTCCCCCGTTCTCATATAATATTGACATTCTGGCTGACCAGGTCTTTGTGGAAACGAGTGTTCCTTGTGACCACTGCCTGAAGGACCAATTGAGGAGCCTGAAGGTTGATACTGTCCGGTATAAGTTGATGCTGGTGAAGGTAGCTGGGCTATCCCATAATGCTGTGCCGAACCAACATTAGATGGAGTACTTGAGGGAACCAAGGGGCTTGCAGGAGGCTGCACCAAGTGATCAACAGCTTCAACAAATGCATGAACAACTTGAATAAATAATCAAATAATAAAGTTGGCCTACCTGATAATGACTCCAACCTGGAAAAGGGACTACAGCTGGGGACCAAACCACATGCCCATAGGGACTATGGACCAATGAGCCAGGTAGCAGAGGTGGCCTTGGAGTTGCAACCATTACACCATATTGTGATGATGAAGGGCCGGATGGAGGCTGTACAGTTGGATACAAGGGTGAAGGTACTGGTACAGGTAGAGGTGAAACCGGAGGAACTGGTGTTTGTGCTGGAATTTGCATACCATCAGGCTGCGGATGGTGGAATTTACAAGTTGCACCAAACTTGCATTGTCCCGTTTTCACATAATAGGAACACTCTTTCTCACCCTGGTATTTATAAAAAACAAGTTCGGAACAAACTCTCTCCATTATTAGAAAATGTGATCCCAACATTCAAGAAAAGACATAAGTTCATGCAGTAAATGTAAAGCAATACAGACCGGTCGCAATGGAAATCCATAATAATTTAGTGACACAGGGCTACCAGTGCCTCCTCCCTGCCTAGGATGATGATACTTGCAGGACGGGCCAAATTTGCAAGATCCTGTCCTCATATAATACTGCGGTTTATATCAGAACACATAATCAATAGGAAAGTCATCAACTCTATAATAAAAGCAAAATTTTGCATAAAATTCCTTCCATCCTTGACATAACTATGCATGACTGTCGAACCAATTACCAAAAAGGAATTAGAATGTCAAAGCATGCTCCCAAAGTCGTTAGCAGAATTAGATAAAGCACCTGGCATACAGGCTGGCCTAGTCGTTCTGGGTACTCCCCTAGAGTCCTCGCAGCTCCAATAACCTAATCAACTCATACATATGTCTCCAAATTAAGAAACACTCGATCAGAACATCAAATGCAAACATATTGAATTCGATAAGTCAATTTAGTTAATATTCAATATCCTGACAATACTTGATGGCAACCCCTCAAATGCAAGCTCAAACCTAATACATAGGCCCGGGGCCCAAAAACAAGATCAAACCAAATTGAACTCAAAGAAGCGAATGGTCATATCAGCCATTAGGAACCAGACAAAGCCCTTCAATAAAGCCCGCAAATAATTAACGACAACAAATTTACCGCGCCACGGTCTCGGGGATGATTGAACCGACATCGCGAGCCGTACCCACAATAACCAGTCCTCAAATAGTATATACAATCAGCCTCATCGGGCCGTTGCGGGTACGATTCACCGCCACCCAATTCCAATTGCCACACTGGCTCTGCATTTGCAAAATCGAGATCAAACCCCGTTAATGACACTCTGCATTCTGCCAAAAAAACCACAAATCGCAAAAGCAATAGCCAAAATTTCCCCAAAAACAGGACAAAATTCAGAATGCAGGAACAGATAGACCCACCTTCGAGCCCTGTTTCGCCTCCCGTTCCGGTCCATTCCGGTGACGGATCAGACTGCGACCCTTCACTGGTCCGGCCGTACCGCTCCATCGTACGGACCAAGCGGACAAGACCAGCCAGAAAGGAAGCTAATTACACAGGAACCTGAGAGTTTCTGAACGTAGAACTGAGAATGAGAGGCTTCGATCAGATAGATTGCCGTGTTTCAGAACAAGAAAGTAGAGAGAGAAAAATGGGTTAGAGCATCTGGGGTTTCGACCCTCTCTCCCCCTCCTCCTCTCCCACACGCACCCACACACACACACCCTTTCACACACAGATACGCACACACAGACTGCGTCTCTGTTTCTAGTTTGGTCACTTCTCTCTCTCTCTCTCTCTATTTTCTCTCACTCACTCTCTTTCAGTTTCGAAGCCTTTTAATTGTTTTTGATTTTGATCTTTCTTCCTCCTACGATTTTACTTCGAGGGACGCCTCTTTTTTGTGTAAGGTGAGAAGCCTCTTTTATTGGTCCTAGAGTTTGTTGGTTTATTTATATACGCGCCAAACACCGCAGGAACCCCCAGAAATAATAATAATAATAATAATAATAATAATAAATCTCCTGAAACGTAATGAAACAAATATTAATAAAATTCACTGTTCAACCAATGCTCTCGTAGTTGAGAGCGGCCGTGTAGAATAAAAATGAAAATTTTTAGATCTAAGTTTGAATTTTATAAACAAGAAAAACACACCAAAAAATGTATTTTATTTTTGAGGTCACCATAATATTTAAATCAAAATGTATTGATACGGGCCAAAACTTAAAAAAAAAAACGTAAAATTAGAATTGATCAACAATATTGATACGGACAAATATCCAATAATTGCAAAAAGAAATATAAGTATGGGGTGACCAAAAGGCAAGTGAGATTTTGCAGACTTGAAAAGACTATAATGCCCTTGAAATTAAGCATGTGCCCAGGAGAATCTGCTGATTATGGGACATGACAGAGTTGTCCTTCTGTATTATTAGAGAATTACGTTAATTAAAAACAGAAAAGCTAATGATGATGGGATTAATTTAATTAATTAAGGTTTGAGGGCTGTGCGGCTGAGGGTAGCTGCAAAAAAGGGGGCAGGCATTAGATAGATGCTCTGGCCTCCACGTGGCATAAAACGAGGATCTTCCTTAAAAGTGGTAAAAAGGTCTCAGGAATTTACTATGTTACTAAAATTTTGGGATCCTTCCCCGTAAACTAACTTTCATTTCAGTTATAAGTCTCAATTCAAACAGGTCGTCTAGCGGCTAAAATAATAAAATCAGATCCATGCATCTCTATCTTTAAATTCTTGTGATAAAAAACTCTATACTACCTCCGGTTCTTAATATAAAAATTTGTTTAACTTTTATTTTGATCATAAATATAAAAATTCAATTCATTTTGTCTCTCATATTTATCCAACTTTTTTAAGGTAGTTCATATAATAATAGAAGTTCTAGCTAAAACATTTTATTAGTAAAGGTATTTTAAGAAAGACAACACCGGTTTATTACAAATAACTTACTTAATTAATTTTCTTAATCTAGTTAAATTACTCAACCAACTTTTATATTAAAGACAGGAAATAGTATATATATACATGTGTGAATTAGACGAACATGTTCTAACAAGGTTGTGGATGGAACCAAGCTTACAATGTTCTACGTACAAGCAAGCTTCAATGTCATTAGATTGTAAGATCATTGGCAATTTTATAAAGTTTATAAATATTATCATTTTCAAATATACAAAAAAATACCGATTAAAAGTTTTTAGAAGGCTTTATAAAATTATTGCTGAGTTTTATGAATGTGACTATGAAATGACTAAAATTATACATATTTTTAAAAGCATGATATTAATTTTTCCAAAAGTATCGTAATATTATGGAAGCATGGTAACTTTAATTTTAGACAATAACTATGATTTACGTTTTTCAGCAAACTTTTATATAAAAATGGGTCTTTAATGAATTTTCTACATTGAATATTGTAAAGTACTAATTGTGCTATTATTATAATCAAACAATCAATAATTAATCGTACAATTAAAACAAAATAGTTCACCTGACTACTGTTAATTAATTATCCTAGATTAATGTATAATTGGTATATATAAAAAAGCTGGTGATTTAAATGTGAAAATAAAAAATCAGAGGAGTGGGCGATTGATATGGATTGGCATTTACACATATAAAAAACAAAAGAAAGATAAGCCACTTCCTATCTCTAAAAGATAAAAGGATATGTGAACTTTTTTACTTTGTATATTAGTTGGCGATCTATATACACAATATATCATTCTGCGTTTAGATTCAGTTTGATTTTGAATTTGTGAAAATGCACTTTTAGTTAAAGGTGTGTGATCAAAAAGTCCTTTTTGCAATTTGTATCATGCTTTAATAATTTTGGATAGAAGAATATTTTCCACCCCAAAAAGCTCCTTCTCATATACACTCACTGAAAAGGTCCAAACAAATGTACACACACACATATAGATATAGATGGCAAAAAACCAAAAAAAAAAAACACACACTAATATTATAAATAATTACAATTATATAATAAATATGAAGTCAATTTTTTTTAAATTTTGTACAATCAAATACATACATGCACACAAATATGTCGACATCAAGTTAAACTCGAAACTTCATCTAAGTGTGGTGAGTGGTGTTGCCAATCAAATTATATGTTAACCAAAATTTCAGTATAGAAAAGTCAGCTGGACAGATAAAGAAATATAATTACTTGATATCTAGCAGTAATTAGCTATGAAATCTAGATATTATTTTGCTCGATTGAGAGTAGTTTTCTCAATTTAATTTTTCTTGTCATGAACAAGCTTTTAAAGCATTGACACTGTTTAAAGAAAAAAAATTTGCTTTACTCACTCAACCAATATTGATATTATCTATTATTATTTATTAATTATTCATGATCTTTCTATTTGTTTAAATATCTACATGATATATCCTTCTAAGTCATGTAATTAAAAATTTGTAACACTGCAATCCAATGCGCAGATATGTGTACTGCCGTCGCATGATTGTGCTCAGCAACTTGGATATATTAATTTTTTACCATAATATTGGTTTTAATGATGGGTAATTAATAATTAATTAGCAAGCTGAATAGATTATTGTTGCAGACATGCATAATTGTCTGGGTGCATTCTTTGTCTGCGAGGTAAAATAGGTAATTATCATAATACTTGAAATTCTTAAAAATTTTTGAGATGTAGAATATTTTATTATATTTACGCTGCTAGACTGTTATATTGTATAATACTACTTCCGATCCTAATTATAAGACCCAGTTGACTAATTTGAAAAAATTAAGAAAATAAGTTGAGTTAGTTATTTGTCCTAAATATGTGTTGTCTTTCCTAAAATATCCTTGTTAATCAAATGTATTGATTAGAACTATCATTGTTAGAATGGTTACTTTGAAAAAAAAATATAAAGATGAGAAATAAAATTAATTGAGATTTTATATTTAGGACCAAAATAAAAGTCAAATAGGGTTTTATATTAAAAACCGGAGGTAATATTATTTTTGTAATATTTTATTTACATTTTTGTCAGACAAAAGCTAACATTATCTAAAAATAAAATCACTCATTTATGTTCTCTATAAGAGTTTCTCCTAAATTTTGAAATTTTGTATTACAGATGTCTAGAAAAGGAAAAAAAAAGAAAGATATTTTTTAGTTTTATTGTATTTTTTTATTTGGCCCTTTTGACTTAAATAAGATGTGACGCCTTTCTTTATGCCCCCAATGATTTAAAGAAGTGGAGATTGTGGGTTTCTTTTCATCACTTTAATTTCCCTTTTTCTAGGTGCATGGTATACGTATTTTTTTAATAAATATAAAATTAATTTCAGAGAATAATATTGGAAATTTTAGTTAATGCTTCCACTTTGTGGCTTGAAGTTAATAGGTGAAATGAAAAGTTCATTGAAAGCATATAGAAGATTAGACTTGGGATTTTGAAAGGTCAAATGTTCAAATTCTTCAACAACATAAATAAATCTGGACCAAAAAATAGTATCAATAAATTCAGACGAAAAATCATGAACATATAAGTGGGAAAACAAATCACGTGAACTAGATTTGATAAAATAAAAAATAAAAAATTACATTTATGATATCTTTTAAAATTATAAATTTTCAGAAAGTGTGGCATGAATTTTTTTTCCTACAAACGGTTTGATGGGCGTTTAAAATTAAATAAAGAATTTACTATTTTTAAATAATTAAATTTTTTTAAAAATTTAACTTTTTTGTCAGTTTTGGACTTTTAAATATTTTTAAAAAGGGGAAGTAATATAATTAAGCCAAATTATTCACTTGTTCATTTAATTTTACAATGTTTCACTTTGATCTTTTAATTTTAAAAAGTATAATTTTAGTCATGTAATTCTAAAATTATTAACAAAAAATAATAATATTAACACTTTGAATGTTAATAAAACATTTTCAGATACTAATATATTAGGGTTAATTTTTAGAACAACAATAATTATTTAAAAAATTATCATTTAAGATTAATAATTTTTAGGTTAAAAAACTAAAAATATAGATACTTTTTAAAGTAAAAAGACTAAACTGAAATCTTATATAAAAATAAAAAACCAAATGAATAGTTTAACCTATAATTAAAATAAAGGGATTTTTGGGTCATTGACCTTACGTGTATTAAAATATTGTCCAGGCCATGAGGACAACTAAAGCTTTATTTATTCTCCCATTCCCAAAGAAAAACATTATTTATTCAAGCTCTGAATGGCTAGAGCTGTAAGTATAAATTATTTCAATAAATTATCATAAATGAGTCACATTTCTGGAAGTTCTTGGAAATTAAAAAAGGATGGATTTAAATGTTACATATACAAAAAAGATTAATAAAACACAATGCCACCAAACCTTCTATAAATATACATGGATTAATTAAGTCATCACACGATTTAGCACTTAATAAATTGACCCCTGTTTGATTAGCGTTTGGTTATTATTTGTAATTAGGTGGGCTCTTGTATTGTATAAAGTTTAATAAATGAATTTTTTTTTTTTTGCACCATGGATTTGTCATGTGTGTGTATATTATTTTAAAATATACTTTTATGAATTGATTGTAGTATTTTAAAAACCATGAATAGTGAATTTGAGATAAATTTTATATTTTATATTGTACTAGTATTATTTTACACACATGCATGTGTGTGTGTATGGATGGATGCAAGTATACAGCCAGGATACAAAGTGATGTTTATTATTGTATATTTGATATCAAAATTTAAATTAAAAAAACTATAAGAAAAACAAACTTTTTTTTTAATAAAATGATCAATTATATAAAAAGGAGTATTATACAACTAAGTT